CTTGTGTCGCTAAAGTTTCGTCGGAACGAAGTTACTGAAAATTAATTAGCAAACGGAGACGTAACAATATTAATGTGTTGGTTACATGTAATACAATTATTGAGCCCATGCATGAAATAGGGATTTTCTACCAAGAAACATTAGCTTGGGCAGTTCTCTGTCTTAGAGATGATGTCCTGGTATTATTCTTCATTTATGGATGGTTGGTTATTCAGCTGCAATCTGGAATGGTAAAGAAAGAGGACGTAATCAATGCTAGGAGAATGCTAACTTGTTAGTAGAATGTATGATGTATTTATTGGACTGGATGGCTAATTGGATAGAACCACAGTCACACATCATCTTACAGATACAGGCAGTGTATATCTGATTAAACAACTGTCATCATGCTTGGTCATCTCCACTAGTAATTGTCAGAAAGAAGGAAGATATGCCCAATTTCTTTATTGATTTTAGATGGATGAGTGTCAATATAATCGAAATGAAGTACTCATTCAACTGAGATAGTGAAAAAAGGACAAAATGTGCCTCAATCTTATGATGCTTTTTATTTTCTTTAAGTAGTGTAGTGTGACAAGTCATTGTGGTAGGTCACAAAGAACTACATCGATGTCGTGTTCTAATATTTATCGAATGGGCTGTATTATATGTATTAATAGTGTGTGTATATATGTGTGAATAGTGTGTGTATATATGTGTGAATAGTGTATAAGTTTTAAGTTTTCTCCAATGGATCCTTTTTTATTTATTGTTTTAAGCTATATTTTTAATATAGATATTTGTTTGCTAGAAGGTGGATAATGCAATATCCAAAAAGTTCAAGTCTCTTATAGAATCAAAACATTTTGTAAAATATATCAATACAACAGTGTTGTTGTAATGTGTTTCTGTCCCTTCTGTCATTTGGCAGTTTCGTTTAGATTACTTTGTGAACATAATATAAAGTCCAGTCTACATAACAATAACAAATTATTTTATTTCTTTTATAATGCACCATTTAGAGGTTATTGAATCATTAGGTCCTTAGTACTGAAACACCCCCTCCCCCTGACGATAGACTAAAAGAACTAATACAATTAGTCAGTCCACTAGTTACATAGAATGGGGGAATAAATCATAGGACAATAATTTCTTCAAGTGTAACTTGAAAGGACATTTGCTGAGGAACTGTAGATTTAAACCTGTATGGAATACGAACTCCTCCAAAAGGATACCAGAAAGAGACAAGAATTACAGACGTGGGAAACCCAACCCTTGCTGTGAGGAGTCAATAGGTTTTAAAATAACAAAGATGATGAGTCTTCGAGCCCAACCAGTTCAACAGGATACCCAGGTATCAGGAATTACCTGGACTTATGGAGGGAAGTTCAGCTGAGAATACCCCATCCATCCCAAATGAGATAAGAAGTTCATCATTTAGAGAAAACAAATTCACAGTTTATTGACGAGAAGCCTTAATATATGTTGATCGAAACTGGATCTACAGCTATAACAGTTAGACCTGATTTGGTAAAGAAAGATGGGCAGTTGTTCCAGCAAGGATGTTATCCTTATTATAAAAAGCTTCTCCACACCTCATGACATGTGGATGATTGACATTGAAGAAGAGTGGTCTCAATGCTTCGTTGATTCTAGTACTTATCATGTATCCTTGTTTCCAAATATTTGCAACACTCTTGATTATAAACTTGTACAAATATTTTAACACTACTTTTATAAACACTCTAAACTTAGCGTAATCATCATGTTAGCAGTTCCCTCTACAAACAACTAAATTAAAACATTGAGAATAATATAGCTTACAACAGTATACTTCAAGTTCAGTGTGTTTTAGTTCGATAGACATCCACCCTAATATAGAAAAGTTATGGATTTAATTACGATTTAGTAGAAGCAACGGTCTTTTTAGTGTACGCAAGTACATACGGTTAAGTAGAAAATGTTTTTTAAATAAAGATTGTGTTCATTTCGTTAAATATTTCCATTTTCATGATTTCACACACAATAAGAAAACAGTAAGGTTATGAAACACAAACTACTCCTCTTGTTATTTCATACAGTCTCATGATTTCACTCTCAATAAAGTAACTTAGTAAGGTTATTGAATACAGACTACTCTACCCAAGTGGATATTGCTATAACATATAACTTTGTTAATAGGAATATCAATTGTACTATCACTTGCTGGTCGAACTGACAGTATCTGTATGTTACACGTGACCAGTGTTGCGTGAGAACAAAGATCATGAGAGGACGCTGTCGACTAGAAAAAGAAGCCAGTCTACTTGCTGAAAGCAGGAGAGTGTTTTAGTGAAATTATACTTGGAGTTCTTTCAGCGTGTTTTAGTTCGAAAGAAGTATATTTTGAGAGATGGAATGCTGTGGATCTAATCATTACCTGGTACAAATGACTGTCTTTTTGTGTCCTCAAGTACAAACCCCAAGTTTTCTTTGTTTTGTAGTAAAGATTGAAGTTTAATAAAATTAGCACAGTCTTATTATTTTATACACACACACCCTGGAAATTCAGTCAGATTATCAAATCCAGAATACTACCGTTATTTCCCCATTGAATCTGCTATTATTAGTGGGTCTATCTGACACTAGTAGGGAACTCGGATAAATATAGTATGTGGTATTTTCAGGTTAAGCATTTTCGTTTCTTGTTATTTTGAAAGGTTTTATTTGTATTTAGTTTGAGTGGTTTTGCTTGATTACAGCTACAAATGGTATTTTAATTTTTATCTTAGTAACTAATTTATTTGTGGGATATTTTTAAGTGGATTTTGAAATAGTCTTTTTTTTAAGCGTTCATTTTTCAACAATTTAATTTTATGATATTCTCTGTTAAAGGGTTTATAAACCTGCATCTTTATTAAAATGTGTTTATTTCTAAATAATATATTACTTAGTATTCAAATCTCTATTTCCATGTTTTTTTGTAATATATGTAAATTTTTAAAGACTATAATTTTATGCTTTATTAGTGTGCTGTTAAATAAAGAAATAAAAAAGGTTAATTATACAACGTATTTTTCTTTATTTAAAGGATTTATATTCATGTATGGTTTCATTGTTCAAGAGTCATGAAGTCAGAGATGTACAACTGTTTTGAAAGATAGAAAGGTTAGCATAAGTCTCTACCAAAATGATTGTAAAGTTTATTGGTAGTAAACTTAATGGTAATTGGCCACTTGGATATGGGAAAATACTATGGGTTTCTATCTATTTTATAGTATTGTAATAGTTATTCTGAATTTATTATTTTTATCTGAATATGTGCAATTTTCACATAGTCAAGAAAACCACTAAGCTGGTCTTGTTTCAAGTTACCTTTGTTTCTTTGTTATTGAAGTTGGTAATACTCGTTTCCACCCATGGAGAACATGGCTTAACCATGGTCAAAGTGTGCATATCCCAAACCTTTGTACACAGTACCATTCAACATGATATTAATGTATTTAATGTCAAAGTTATCAATATGACAGTAGGTATAATGCTTAAAGAACAAACTAGAACTAGTATGCTAGTGTAACCAAAGAATGAATACATAGTTGTCAGTAAATGAGATTAGGCTAATGTATTTGTCTGAATAGACAGTCAGTTGAGAAGAACAAACCATATAACAGCCACCTCGAAAGCTTCCTTGGAGTACTAAGGATATAACCAGTACCGATATAGGTTGGATGCTAGAATACTGAATTATTCAATTTTAACCTATTGCTTGGTCTCCATAAGTACCTATTATACTAAAGAAAGGAGGTTCTGTACCGACTTCAACATAGTGACATATGGCAAAATATCTTGGTACATTTGTTTGTTTCATTAAAATTACGCAAAAAGCTACACAATGGGTTATTTGTGCTTTGCCCATCATGAGAATCAAAACCCAGTTTCAAGCATTGTAAATCTGCAGACATTCCACTCTGCCACGGAGTAGGCTGGTACATTGGAATGATCCTACCCATTGAATTCACTATATCACATACCACTGTGCTGTTGGGGTGAGGCTGGTACATTGGAAGGATCCCACTTATTGAATTCACCATATCACATACCGCCGTGTCTCTGGGGGAAGGCTGGTAGGTCAGGTTCCAACCTGATACAACAAGAAAGTTCTCTACCAACCAAACTAAAGAGTCAACCCTTACGAACTACTGTTGAGGCATTTTTTTAACAACTCAAAATACCAATATTATTATTACACTATAGCAATTAAGGCCTCAGTTGGACATCAGTTGCCTTTACAAAGGGATTTACCCAACACTTCTAAACGGGATGTGTGAGAATGTTAAGGATGTGACCTTTAAATCCCCATCCCAACATTTGTGATTTTTGTAACCAGCTTACACATTCTCTGGCTCAAATGAGAAAAAAAAAAAAAAATTTAAACATTTTTACAGATATGAATTTAGTTTACTTGCAGAAAGTAACTCTTGTCTTAGAGTCATCAAAAATGGATCAAAGCATTATTATTTTAAATGAACTTCAATGTAGGCTCATCCATAATTAGCGTCATTACCTAGCGGTCTTATCCCACAACAAACAGTGTACATGTATTTGTCATCTCTTTCTAAGACTTCAAAATGTAAAAAAAAATTCCTGCATGGGTCAAACAATAATTTTATTGATGGTCTATTGGTCAACAATATTGTTTTGATGGTCTTTTGTTGTAGATTTACAGAAAAACAACCAACATATTTCTTACCTAACTGAAATTGGCAATTTTACACACACAAATAGAAGGTTTAAACATTGTTTTGATACAAAAATTCCTTTTTTCATCAATATAAAACACCATAAAATCCATAAAATAACAGAAACACGACATGATTCAACATTTAAAACTTTCAACAACCCTTTACAAAATGCTTTATTCGGGACGTGTGTAGAAACAAACACTAATCAGTTATCATTAGGAAAGATCCAACAACAATATATATAGTAGTATTATACAACAAGGCTTAGCATATCTTTCATTCTGCTGCTAATTAAATGGAAGTTATGGAACTTTTTTCAACACTCATCTGACAGTGTGAAAAACACTTTATAATACTTAACATAATAAAGATTACCCAGTTTATAAAGGCGATGGCTATACTTCAGGTTTTTTTTCTTATAAACAAGTTACTTCCGAGGATTTTCTCTATTACTCAATGCACTGAGTTACTGAAAATAAAGTAAAACTTTACTTAACATTTGTTAATTAATTGACCAGTGAATGAGTTTTTAAAAATTAGTTTTCTCTGATGATTTATTACTGAATGTATATACTATTTTTGAATTTTTTTTACATTTCAAGAAAACTTAATTCTCTATTTCTGTTGCATCTGCCTATTAAACGTGAGGATTGTTAAGCAGCTCCAACAGGCTTCATGTGTTTAAAATGTATGTCAGTTGAAGTATACAAAGAAAATTTAAAGAGAAACATTCCCATATAAGTGGTTGTCGATAAATACAGTAATTTCGTTTCTCTCTAAACGAAATGACTGTCATATGACCAAAAAATAAAATTTCGTAAATAAACCATTTTAAAACACTACAATAGATTCTGAGCACAAAGAACACAAACGAGTTTTGTACCCATGCGAGCATTGATCACCAGTACATAAACAAACAATTCATTATTGTGGTTTAACGTCTTCCTTTCAAGTACCGATCTTTATCCAAAAACATGGGAGACAAGGAGACAGCTTCTCTTCAGCTCCCGTCATTAGTCTGGAATGGGATGATTAAGGAAAACATTAACTGATCATCAACTTGTCTGTGGTACGTCATCAACTTCTCCTGGAGGAAGTGGGGGGAAGTCAACTGCTTGGCCAGGAACTGCCCCTGTAAAGCAAAAAATAAAATGGAATTTATACAGGAATACATACCCATTTTTTTTTAATCAAAGCAAAATGTTTTAATGGTACACAATGTTGTGAATAAATAATATACTTATGTATATGGTGATGTTTACACTCAAATAAGATAGTTCTAAAAGAATCTCTTATATTATGAAACAGTAATAATACTAAAATTAAAAATATTTAAAATTTACATCTTGGTACTCTAAAGCTTCCTAGCTTCAGACAAAACATAACTTCCAGTTAATTCTGGGCTCTACTTAAATATGAGTTTAAAACACTCCAGGTAAACTTCATGACTTACAGCAACATACTGTTGTGTTTAGTATAGAGCTGAGTCAGACATCTCTATAGAACACTAATAGTTGTTAGATGTCTCATGTCACTATTCAGTGTTTACTGTATTGTTAAACAATAGTACATAGCTGGGTCAGGTCGACATATCTATTGAACACATTCATAGTTGTTAGATGTCTCATGTCACTATTCAGTGTTTACTGTATTGTTAAACAATAGTACATAGCTGGGTCAGGTCGACATATCTATTGAACACATTCATAGTTGTTAGATGTCTCATGTCACTATTCAGTGTTTACTGTATTGTTAAACAACAGTACATAACTGGCTCAAGTAGACATCTCTATAGAACACATTCATAGTTGTTAGATGTCTCATGTAAAATAAAAATACAAGTATAGAGCTAAATTAGTTTAACTACTTTTAATTACTGTAATGACTTAAATGTTTATGTTATGAATAACAAAACATATTTAACATTAACAGTTGTATTTACTTGTTTGCAATTGTTAATTATATATCAAACTTTTTAGACAACAACCTACCTGGTGCATACTGTGAAGCTAAAATACCTCGGCCAAGTCCAAGAACTGGGCTTTGTTGTGTCATTCCTCCCAATATTTGTCCTGGAAACATTATTTCACCAGCACCTTTCAAAACAAGAACCACCAGTTTACTGATGAAGTGTCCAACTTTTCACTTTCAGATATTAAATATACATTAACCCTATCATATTGTAGATTATAATTCAAATATTAGTATTATACATCAGTTAATTTCTTAATTTAAAAGAAAATATTAAAATAAATCCTAAATATTGATTTTTGTGTGTCAGTAGTATGTTGAATGCTGCATTGGTTCAAATTAGATGTTCGTGATGTCCAAATACAAAGTTTATAGCTTCTTACGAATTAGATACTCAAATTACAGATACTGACAAACTAGGATATAAATAAGAACCTCTTATTTTTCTATTTTCTGTGATAATAATATATTTATTGAATCAACCAAGTTGGCCCCGCCCACCTCTTCAATTTTGAAAATACTTGCTAACGTACACCTACTTTGCCCAATGACGTGTGTATAACAAATTGGAAGCTCAGAATGTCCCCCTAGCAGCTTTTTCAGCCTCTGTGAAGTATTTGCACATTAAACTCTTTTCAAGCTAGATTCCAAGCAAAATGGTAAGAAATTATTGAACTCTAAATTTAATATTTTTTTGACTCAAACACAGCTTAGTTACTAAGCTTGATAAATTAGCGGAATTCTATGGCATTGATATAATAATTTATGACTTTTGGTTATTTCAAAATGTTTATTTAAAATCTAAAAACAAATTATTTCATTTCATATCCTCCACATGCAAAATTTGATAAGGCTTAACAGCAAGCAAGTACAAAGTCTGTAACTAGAAGAGAATAACCGTTTTCTATACTATATTTACTGTTCTATATTTTAAGAAAAATAAGTTGAAGAACTTGTTTGTAAATAGTAATAACGCATGTACATATATATTGTATTATAACTGAGATATGACTATTTTACAAAATACTAGTCTACTAAATCACAGACAAGACAGGTCACTTTGTAAAGGCCAGTTTTTTACTCTTGGATACGGTAACATGAGTGCATGTTCTCCACGTAATTGCAACTTCTGTAATGTTAGCCAGGCACAGTTGAAAGGTCAATATAATAAAAATAAATATATGAAGATGTATAATGTTACGAGATTTAAGCTATTTATTTAGACTAAACATTTATGTTTGTGTTATTAACTTGTAGTCATTCTAGAACAAAAAAAAGCATAATTTATATTTATTTCCTAATTTTTTATGGAGTTGGTCAAATCAAACAAACAAGTACAGAGATACAATAGGGAAAATAACAGATAAAGTTTTTCTAAAAACACATTTGAGAATTATCTGGAGGTTATAAATTTTTTGTGCGTGAAATATGAAAATTTTGTGATGTTTAAAAGTATTTTTAATCTTAAAACCAAAATTACTTTGCATGTTACAAGTTATTGCATGAAACTATAAGAAGCACAAAGAGTTAATTAATGCTTATGGAATAATTAAGCACAATAATACTACTGGACGTAATATCTGTAATCCAAAACCTCTCTTACCTGCACGTGTCCAAGAAACTCCCCTGCCACGAGCAATCCCCAAGAATGCTTCTCCTCCAGTAGGAGAAAAGTTGTTCCCTTGAACTTGGTTGCTAGACTGTGAGTCAGGATCCACAGTACCTCTTCCATATATATTGGCAGCAATACGTCTGTTTTGTAAAGGGGCACCTGAAAGAAGCAGATTTCACTACATACTAAAACATGCACTGAATATCCTCTTTACTGTTAAGGTTCTACAAAAACTACATTCTCAGCTATTGTTAAAAGAAATAACTAGTCAAAATTCAAGATTTCTCACTTGTACAAGACAAGTAGTTTCTAAAGAATGAGTACATTCACTTGAATGATTCATCCTTAGGATAAACAAGGTTTTTCCTGAGTGTTGTTAATTTTTAATAAGATGTTTGAAAAATGAAAGGCATTAATCTAATTCTAAGAAAATACTTTTTGAAAAACTGTCTTTAAACTCTATAAATCCACACCTTTGCTGAATTGTAGTGCTCTGAGTAATTCATGCCAAAATATATGTATTTGGTTGGCTATAGGGTGTATTGGCATTTAAGTACATATCCCCATGTTTAGAATGTCAGGTTTTCATAGGTGTGCACAAACAGAATTCTTTACAGTAGGTGTCTGTGACTTGTTGGCGATAAATTTCAACAATAAACAGACAACACACAATCCACTTTTTTTGAAATAATATATTGAAAACAAATCAAACATAGATACAAAAATTTCTTACACTACTGATTATCACAGCCGTATCCAGAGCTTTAAATAATTGACAGGTGAGTTCAATCACTTTAGAACACCCTTTGACAACACGTATTATTCTCCTCTATCTCTGTTATTACAATACAAGCTATAAAACTCAATTTAGAAATTGCTCGTTACAGCTAAGTTGACAACCACACAGTCTAACTTCACTTTTACTCACCCTAACTTAACCTACTCTCTTTATCTGCACATATTTATAACACAGAAAAAAGAAAACTAGAAATATCTAGCCCTCTAGTAATAATAATATGACATAAGAAAAACTTAAAAGCTTCAAGTAAGATGACGTCAACAACATTACAAAAGCCTAGTACAACAATTAAACTACATACACAATGTACTACTCGCACAGAGTTACGTAACAAAACTACTCATAACTATTGCTTTTAACAGGCCCCTCAAGAGCCACTCGAGGACGTTTTTGTTGAAAAAAACTACCGAATCCAGGTTTTCTTAATTGGAACTGAAATTCTTTGGACATGTTTATTGACTAAAAAGAAGGCATTTCCCACACTCTTTGAGCAGTGTGGCTGCAAAATGTGATTTGAAGTGGCAAGGTGACTGAAATCCGTCAGAGCACCACGAGCACAAGAAGCATGGGAATCTCTAAATGACACACACAGAGGTATTCAGGAACCATTTAAAACTACCTCAGTAGATATTGTGCAGCAAACCAAGTACAATATGATGCCTGTAGCTGCTTTCAAAGTGTTCCTGTCTGCTCATTCTACTGCTGACTATCATGATGCTTCGACCTTCCCTACCGAATCGTAGGTGAAATTGTTTGTATTTCACTTGAAAGCTAAACATAAAAAGGTGATAGCAGAAGCATAAATGGTTGGCAATTGCTTAATTAAATGATGCTAAGAATTTGGTTTTATTGATATATATTGAATTTACTCCCAGCAGGTAGACTTTAGTACTAGCTAGTATGGACATTTAAGGATACTGTATTTCATTTAAAATTTATCAGTTAGCAAATGAAAACTTGCCTTGAAGTTGTCTCTAAAAGATACGTCCAAAAAAAAAACCCACCCTCTTTGGGAGTTTCCAGGTTGTACTTACTTTTAATATTCAACAAACTGTAGTACAAAAACTCCCCTTAGCTCCTGAGTGAGATGTCCAAATAACTAATTTTTAACACTCTTGTTACGAAAACTAAATAGTCTTGTATATCTAACAACATGCCTATCAGATTTGCAAAGATAATGAATACTCTTAACTGAATAAGGCCCTCTGTGGGCACTCTGCAAAAGATTGACTGATTGTTGATTGTTAAGCCCACAGCTACACACAATGGGCTCTGTGCTCTGCCTACCACGAGCATCAAATCCTGGTTTCTTTAAAAATTTAAGCCTGCAAACTTACTTCTGAGCCACTGGAAGACTTTCTTTGCAAAGAAATATGCAAAAATCAGGAAAAGTGCAAATCCATGGATGATATCAATAATCGTAACAAGAATTTGGAAATACCAAAACTATGCAAAAAAAACAATTCAAAGGCTTGAACAGAAAACTGTTTTGGGTGAGACTGTACTTAACAGTAATGATGGTAGGCCTACTGCCAATGACGTAGCAAGACTAATGGAAGCAGCAATTGTTCTGCAGATTCGAACATAAAAAGAAATTTGATTTTAAGATTGACAATATTTTATGCATCATAAAATTTTCAAACTTCACATGTGAAATCTTTTTTTTTTAACCTTCAGATCATTATCAAACATTTTTTACCTGTTATTTTCACTATCGTATCTCTGTACAGGTTCGGTTGATTTGACCTACCATGTAACCACCATAAAAAAATTTGGATGTAAATAGAATTTTTTTTCCCAATCTAGAATGACTACAGATTATGACAAACAAATGTTTGCTCTAAATAGTTTAAATTGTTTGTACTCGTTTGCTGCTTGCTGTAGGCTGCTGAGCGATATCAACTTTTGCACGTGGAGAATGTGAAACGAAATAAATTTTTTTTAGATTTTAAGTAAACATTTTGAAATAACCAAACCTCATAAATTACTATATCAATAAACATAGAATTCCACTAACTTATCAAGCTGTAACTAAGATGTATTTGGGTCTAAAAGAATATGAAACTGAGCTAACAAATGTCTTATCTTACCTCTTGTAATCTAACATGGAAAGTAGGAGCTTGCTGGGTAAATGCTTCACAGAAGCTGTGAAAGCTGCTAGGGGGACATTTTGAGCTTTCAATTACTTATACACATGTCATTGGGCAAAGTACGTATACGTGAGAAAGTATTTTTAAAAATGGAAGATGTGAGCAGAGCCTCTTTGGTCGATTCAATAAATATATTACTATCTCAGAAAATAGAAAAGATAGGAGGTCCTTGTTTTATATTCTAGTTTGTCAATATTGGTATTACTGTTAAAGTCAATAAAACAATATCAAAACATGTAGTCTTTAATGAGTTTTTTAAATATGTACAAATAAATTCTGATTTAAGTGATTTGAACAAAAAATTATAAATTAACCAGTTTCTTTCAAAGAAATGAAAATAAAACCTTTGTGATATTTTACAATCATCTCATTGTTACTGGTCATTCCAAATACCAGAAACCCCCCCAAAAAATTTAATAAGATAGACTATTCTCAGTTGACCAGTTGATGGAACAAAATTATACTCTGCATTGAAGTCTAGGTTCAATCCAATGGTATATTCGGGTACTTAATAATGTGTAACCCTTGATAAAATGGAAGTTTGACAGCTAACACTAATTATTCTTACCTCGACCCATTCCAATGTTACACATAACTTGTGCTTCTTTCTTCTGTTGCTGTTGTTGAAGAGCCTGCAACAGAATTATTACACTCCAAATACAAACAATAAAATACAGCTCATCCAGTTTGTGTTAACGAAGTTTTCCTAAACTTCCGTTTTTAGAAACCTGAATTACTTATTCTCTAAAGCATAATCTACAGAAAGTTAAAAGTTGTGTAGTTGTTAAAAACTATCATTTATATTCATACTTCTAATACACTGAAAGCCTCTTATTAGACTCTTTATAGATAATCTAAAAACTAGTCTAATTTTTCAACATGAATCTAGTTTTAAATGTAAAAATGTTAAAAGCTGTTCTTTGAAAAGAAACGAATTGTAGAAGTACTCTAAAGAAAACTGTTAAAATCACCTATTGCTGTTGAACACTAAGTTTGATTATTTGAATGTATGGATGTTTCTCAAGTTCTTTTAGAAGTACATTACAAATATAACAACTAAATGAAAATTATTATTGTACTTTAAAAAAAAACCAGTAATGACATATTAAAGAAAATGATACTTAAATGTCAATAAAAGTTAGAAAAATTAATATGAAAAATATAGCAGCAAGTGAGGTTTAAGAAAACCTTCTAGGGCTAAACAAATAAATGTTGTAGCAGTTCCACAAAAAGCATTTAGTTCACAAAATGATGTAAATGATTTAAAAACTGACACCAGACAGAATTAAGTCTGCCACTTTGCTTATCAATCAGTTGTTTTGATGATCAACTAATATACAACACACTGACTCAGGGTTAGGGCCTGGAACTTGTTGATCAGTGTGAACCAATATCAGGTTTAAAGTTTACTTGTTGATCAGATGGTTTGACTAACTAATAGTGTGAACTGAGATCAGGTTTAAAGTTTGCTTGTTGATCAAATGGTTTGACCAACTAATAGTGTGAACGGAGATCAGGTTTAAAGTTTGCTTGTTGATCAAATGGTTTGACCAACTAATAGTGTGAACGGAGATCAGGTTTAAAATCTGCTTGTTAATTAGATTCTTAAGGCTTAAAATACTGTATTTGAAGAAATACATTAACAAAATGAAAGAAATCTATAAAATACAATACGGTATATAAAAAATACACCTTACTTTCAGAACATAATAATATAACAAACACAGAGAAACTAACACTTTCATGTGTCCTCTTTATAGTCCTACATAAAGGACTGAGAGAAAATCTGACCACATAACTTAGGTGAAAGGTGACTGGCAACTCTCTTGAGGACATGTGTGGTTAAGAAACAAACAGTTCAACTTGAAGTGTTGGGATGCTTTTAAGTGACAAGAGAATCATTTCTTTTATGATTCTCAATGGATTCAAATTATGCACTGTATCACAAGTAGATTAAGACTATTCTTATTTTCATTTTTTTTTTTTAAGTGTGGTTTATTTTTTAAGTTGATACTTAAATTACAACTTTATATGCACAATAATATTTTACAGTTGTCAATGAACAAAGAAGGGTGTATAAAATGTTTAACTACATAAACATCCACATTACACAACTAAAGAGAAATTACATAAACATTCCCCAAACACACATACAATCAATTGGTGTCCAGTACTTAATATACTTTCCTCTAGTCTCCACAAAAGCTTCACATCATTTGGGAAATTATATTAAAAAAATAGTTATTTTTTTATGGCTGCACTTTCAAGTTTGCTTTGTTTAATTACTGGAGATCCATAATCAACATATTTATATTTGCAGTTTTAGGGTTGCCGAACATTATTTAACATTAATTTCATGCAATTCTTTTTGTTTTTACAATGTCTAGTCAGTATTATGAGTGAAACATTCATGTGCAGTTTGCAATATTCAAACAACAAAAACCATCATATTTTCAATCCATTAAGCCTCATCTTCCCAGATTAAACAAATCTTAATTAGATATATAAATTATATTTCTTGACTTTTACAAGCACAAATCATTTTGTATTTGTGACAAAAGCTGGGGCATACCATTACTAGTAGAATATAGCTCAAAGTTGTTAGTTGTTGATATGTAACAGAAACTGTACTGGATAAAACATGATAAACAAGAAAACCTTGAAGAAATAACATCAATAACATTTATAAAACTATAATTATAGGTGGCTGGCCAAAATCCTGAGGTAAACTTTTGATGGCATTTTTTGTTACAAGTTATTACCTCTCCCATATGTCTTCTGTATGACCCAAGGTTTTGAATCATTTGACCTTCAAGGCAAATTTCAAGGTCATTTTAATGAAATATCAGCCAATTCTGTATTTTTGCATACTTAGCTCCCTACTTGTCACGGGTAAACAAAATCTTATATTCCATCTAGAATATCTTGTAGTGTAGACAATAATTTGACCTTCAAGGTCACAAGAGTGAAAATAATACTGAAATAAGCCATTTTTGTAATGATACACTTGCATCTTGTTTCCATTGTAGCACATGTGACACATTCTTTCTTTTCTTTCAGGTTCTGATATGAAACTAGACCTTGGATGTGAATCAACCTACTTCATCTAAATGGAGAAGGGAAGAAGATATCATCAGAAGTTGGAAAGGCTAGACTACTGAATGTTGCCAAAGGAAGATAAATACTTAGACTCAGATTCCGTTCACATTACTGATCATACTTTCTGGAGGTCAACTGTGACGGGGGGGGGGAATCGATCAAGTACCATAAAACTTGCTACCACAAATTTACAGTGAGAAATCAATCTTTATCAAAGCATCAAACAGGGCCTGAAAAAAAATCATGCAATGAGCCAAAAGCCATAGTTCAGTACTCTTGTTCGATCACGGTCTGTGTATGTTTTCTCAAATATAATACAGTAAACAATAACACAGTGTTGCAACATTCAGTTTATCTGAGAGAAAAGAAAGGATTTGTGACATGTGTTACAATGGAAACAAGATGCAAGTGTGTCATTATAAAAATGGCTTATTTCAGTAATATTTTCACTCTTGTGACCTTGAATATGACCCCCAAGATCAAATATTAAACTAATGTCTACACTATTTGATTATTTTGACTTAAATACAACACATCTAGAGGGAATATAAGATTATGTTTTCCTGTGACATCAAGTAGGGAACTAAGTATGTAAAAATACAGAATTTACATTTCATTAAAATGACTGAAGATCAAATGCACAGATGACATCCAGGGAGGGATACCAATTTGTAACAACAAAATGCCATCAAAACCTTTTTTCAACCACATTTTATGGGCTTGGCCAGCTGACTATTACTTTGTTTAGATCTTTGGGTTCCTAAAATTTCAACAATTAAGTTTAAATGACTTCAGGATTTCAATAGCCCATACAAGTTCTAAACTATAAACGACCTTACCAAATTTGATAGTCATTTATTACTAGTATTAAAATGTTTTGTTTTTTAATACACAAATATGCACTGTAAAAATTAGATGGGTACCAATCTAGTTTAACCCCAAACTGAGGAGGCAAACTCAATGCACCAACCAAATATCACATGAAAAAAAAAAAGAAGACATTTCTTACAACTGAACTATAACAGTGAAAAAAACTAAAAAAGCTGATAAAATATTTGGACTATGCTCCATTCTAGACCCACCTCAGGCTGAGCTCTTGGTTGGCGTAGTCCTTTTGGTTTTGTGACAACCTCTTCTTTCTTAACATCCATCTGAGATCTGGAAAGCCCAACAAGAGTTAATTCTTACCTAAACAAAATCTAATTAATGAAGTATGTTCTTTAGAAGTAGAAAGGTTTAAAATCCTACCAGAGTCAAATACACATAGAAAAAATTCTGAATATTTTCTTTTTATGTACTCATTAAATCATGATCATAAAAACAAACAAACCGAAAAAAACTCTTACAAAAGTGAAAAGTTAACTGATTTTCTTGTATAAAATTTACATCTGGTTCTATAATGCTTCAGTTTCTGTCACAACAAGAGATAAATGATTAATTTCAGAGCTGATTCAAGAGGGTAACAATAAAAGTATACCATACATTACAAGAAAGAACAAACCAGGTAAAGAAACCAAAGTGTCAGAGATGTCAACTATGAGAAACTCACAGTACGTGGATTCTAATAAAGATAACCACCTACTAAAGTTGAAAGAAATAAAAATGTAAACTGAAGGAGAGAAGTTACAGGTGAAAGTGCTTATCTAAAAGATTCAAAGATATCCTGTAATCACAACACTTTAAGACGGAATAAACATGAGCAGCAAGGAAAAAAAAGCAAGAGGAAAGGATAGAGATTGTTTTTGTGAAGATTGGGAGGAAGGAGGATTCATGACAGACATACAAGTGCTACCAGGTAAATTTCTAAAACAGCAAAGACGAAAGCTTGAAGACAAGACACAACTGACCAGATGAAAGGGCTATGGTCCAGAAATTCAAAAAGACTGTTTTAAAGTATTATGGGACAGTTTTTGTATGAAGAGCAGTCTGTGAGGAGAAGCTTTAGCATTACTTAAGCACACACAGCATACCCTTAATACTATAAAATGACAGTGAAGCAAAATCAGATCTAGTTTTTGAAGAGATAACTCCTGTATATACCTAACAGTTGCTGTGACAAAACAGAAACATTCAAACCCAACAAGATTTGAGAGAGAAACACTCAACCTCTTTTAACTTAAAACAGAACACCTGGAGTCGAACATTCCACAACAATTACTGCTCAGTCAGAAACAAGGAAATACCAGCTGGCTAGTTTGACCAAATACTTACTGAGATAAAAGACAACAGAACATGGAAGTCCAAGGTCCACCAATTCACGTGTCACAAAACTTCCTACAGTCTATGGTTAACAAATATATTAAAACTTTCAAAATGACATCAAAATTAAACCCAGACCACCACTTAATATGATCAAGCAAATAAAGGAGAATCCAGACTTTTCTTTTCTTAAAGGTCAGCAGGTGCTATAAAAATAGGTTATCCAAACTGAGTGCAGCTTTCAGTTGGGATGAACAAACTATTATATTACCACAATATTTAATACAAGCAGGTTGTAGAGTTTCTGTTGCACACTTCTGAGTTGAGTGACAAATATTTATTAAAAGTTTACTTTGTAAAACTAAATTTAACAATCTGAAGTTTGATAGTCTTCCTCAAAAGCTTTCTAACCACAAACTGAAGTTAAAAGTTTACTGAATCTGTTCCTTACCTTTGGTTCAAATTCCATTTAACATACAACAATGGGTAGTGATTTTTTAATTTATTTATTACTTCAATGCAGTGGTTTTTACTGGAACAAAACTATTAATCTGGCCAAATGATTAGAGAACATTCAAGGAAAATTTGGTTGTTAAATATGAGAACTTAACAAAGAAAGGCGTTCTTTCTGGTGTTCTATAAACTTTAATTTTTTTTTGTCTTTGTATTTATCTTAATAAAAGCTTTAAAAAAAAGAAGAAGAGAGATAGTTCAGTTAACACTGGAATTCAATAATACAAAATAACTATAGCAGGCTAGTTACAAGAAGTAAAGAAAATAAGACAGCCCAAACTAAACACTATGTTAATCAATCTAGGTAAGATTACAGGAAATGTTATATTAGTTACCATTTCTGATTTCATGTACAGTAAAACTTTTGTTTTAAACTTGTTCTGATACTTACTCTTCATTATTGTTTCCTCGATTATGCATTTCTTTATAATACTTTTTCCTCTCAGCAGGTTTTAACCCAGTTAAAGACATGTCTGGGAAAATTCCATTCTTTTTTGCTTGAGAAGGATCATATCCTGGGACACAATCATCACTAATTTCTGAAATCAATACATGCAAGATCTCTGAAAAATTATTCATCATTGTTTTTTTTTTGTTAATACACATTGTTTTTGCTTTAAATATATTTAATAAGAAAATTTCCCTTGAAGAAGTTAATATTTCTTCACTTTTTCACAAAATCAAAAGAAAATACCATCAAAAGTTGCTTTTTTACTATTACATGTAAAATAATTTTATTACTTTTACATTTTTATGTACACTTTATTGTTGATGGTAGATAGCATGTCTCTCTGATGGAAGTTATATTTTATTATCATGTTGTTAACTTCAATTAGCACCTGTATAAAAAAAAACTATCAAATATTTCAGTTTCTTCCAGTGTCTACAGAAGATCGTGTTGAACAATAGTTTCTTCCAGTGTCTACAGAAGATCGTGTTGAACAATAGTGTCTTCCAGTGTCTACAGAAGATCGTGTTGAACAATAGTGTCTTCCAGTGTCTACAGAAGATCGTGTTG